AAACCAGATTTTCCTCCTTGGTCTGGTCTGGGGGAAGGAGTGGTTCTCTACCGGGGTAACGTCTCTGTTTGGGAGGGGCAGCTGTCAGCCCTCCCCTCATCCCCCGCCCTCACGCCTTCTGTCGCTCTATTTCCTGGCTCATCCGCAGCACCCCCATCTTCCTTCTACTCTCCCCTCCCCTCCCCCTTGTTGTACCCTAGCCCCAAGACTCCGTTTTCCTCCTGCAAGAAACCTAGTTGTGCCCCCCCCCCTCCCCGCTGCGGCAGTGAGGACAGCCCTCGCTGCGGCAAAGAGCGCACTCCTTTTCTCCACCTCCCTCTTCCTCCCCTCGTCTGCTGCAGACCCCAGCCCCAGCATCGGGGGCTGGGTGTCTGCTGCTAAGACCCTGGTCACCACCTCTCAAAGTCGGTGGATTCTCTGCAACCCAGGCTGGGGAGGCCCGGCTGCAGCGGGCTCTGTCCGCGGTGCTGGAACGCGTACCTGATTCACCACGTCCATGTCGGCCAGCAGCAGCTTCAGCAATGCAGGGGGCGGGAGGAGCCTGCTAGCAAGGGCGGGTGCAGCGGGGGAGGGGGTACGCGCAATCGTCAGAACAGCCCAGACAACCACAGCTCCTCCCCTCGTGCCCCCACCTCATTGGCCACCTGCGCTTGCGCATATCAGCCAAGCTGAAGTAGCTGGCGGCCATTCCAGCCCCGAGGCTGGAACCCTGTGAATGCTCAAGGAAGATCTATGTCTGAAAACACAGGTAGAGGTCTGGGGAGAGGAGGACCGTTAGGTCCTGCAGTATCACATTTTACCAGGCCCTTTATTGAGTTTGTTAAAATGTGCTCACTCATTTAATCCTTACAACAGCCCTATGTATGTGGTAGGGACTATTAGCTCCATTTATACAGATGAGGAGAATGAGCCCCCAGAGAGGTTAAGTGACTTGCACAAGGTTGCCCAGCTAGTAATTGGCAGTGCCCAAAGTCCCTGAAATTTAAACATAGTTCAAGGTCTTGAGGGTTTCTTCTCATCTGCATTTTAAGCACATCTTAAAACCCCTCCTAGCCATCTTCCCTATTTCTCTCTTCCTCTTAAGTTAAATTCTTGCCTACTCTAATTCTACACTTTATGTCCTTTTTATTCCCCAGCCCACCTTTAATTGGACTACCCTCCTTCGTGCTACTAACACTAGGCCCACCAAAGGTAATGGTGATTGCCATGTAACAACATCCGATGGATAAATACAGTTGGAATTTAAGATGCTCAACCTCACTCATACAAAAGAAATACCTATAAAAACTACTAAAATACTGTTTTTCATCTTTGAGGGTGGTGAATATAAACAAGTTCAATAATGCTCAATATTGGCAGGTTGCCCAGAAACAGACATTCTCATAAGTTGATAGTGGAAGTTAAGTTGGCATAACCTCTGTAGAGGAGGGTGATTTGGCAAAATCTAGCAAACTAACAAATCCTTATACTGTTTGGCTCAGCATTTGTACTTATAGGAATTTACACAGATAGATTTGTATATGTGCTAAAAGATGTATGTATAAGATGATATACTGCAGCACTGTTTATAATAAGAGTGGACACTCCCAAAGTGCTCATTACTTGTAGCCCATTCAAGTAAACTCTGATACAACTACAACTACTATACAATTATCATTAACAATATAGAGATATGGGCCCTGGCTGGGTAGCTCAGTTGGTTAGAGCCATGGTCGGCAAACTGGCTCATGAGCCACATGCGGCTCTTTGGCCCCTTGAGTGTGGCTCTTCCTAAGCCTTAGGAGTACCCTAATTAAGTTAATAACAATGTACCTACCTATATAGTTTAAGTTAAAAAAATTTGGCTCTCAAAAGAAATTTCAATCATTGTACTGTTGATATTTGGCTCTGTTCACTAATGAGTTTGCCGACCACTGGTTAGAGCATCGTCCCTATGCCAAGATTGCTGGTTCCATCCCTGGTCAGGGCACATACAAGAATTAACCAATGAAGGCATAAATGAGTGGAACAACAAATCAGTGTTTCTCTCTCTCTCTCTCTCTCTCTCTCTCTCTCTCACACACACACACACACACACACATCAATAAAAAACAATAATATGGAGCCCTAGCTGGTGTGGCTCAGTGGATAGAGTGTTGGCCTGCGGACTGAAGGGTCCTAGGTTCGATTCTGGTCAAGGGCATGTACCTTGGTTGCAGGCTCCTCCCTAGCCCGGCCGTGGTTGGGGTGTGTGCAGAAGGCAACCAATCGATGTGTTTCTCTCACATCAATATTTCTCTCTGTCTTTCCCTCTCCCACTCTCTCTAAAAATCAATGGCAAATGTCCTTGGTAAAGAAATAATAATAATAATAATAACAATAAAACAAAACAAAACAAAACCCCAATGTGGAGATATGGGATGGTCGCCGAGAAATTTAGTTGAGGCATGGGACATGCCAAACTGTGTGGGGATTGTGTACAAAGAGAAGGGAAGGATTATATCATAATTATAAAGAGAATAACTGCCTGGCCGGCGTTGCTCAGTGGTTGAACATCGACCTAGGAAACAGGAGGTCATGGTTCGATTCCTGGTCAAGGCACATGCCAAGGTTGCAGTGTAGGGAGTGCAGGAGGCAGCTGATCAATGATTCTCATTATTGAAGTTTTTATCGCTCTCCTCCTCTCTCTTCCTCTCTGAAATAAATTTTTTATTTATTTTTTTTAAAATATATTTTATTGATTTTTTACAGAGATGAAGGGAGAGGGATAGAGAGTTAGAAACATCGATGAGAGAGAGAAACATCGATCAGCTGCCTCCTGCACACTCCCTACTGGGTATGTGCCAGCAACCAAGGTACATGCCCTTGGCCGGAATCGAACCTGGGACCCTTCAGTCCGCAGGCCGATGCTCTATCCACTGAGCCAAACCGGTTAGGGCTGAAATAAATTTTTAAAAAAAAAGAAAATAATATTTTAAATTATGTCTATTCTGTGTCAAGCACTGTTCTGAGAGCTTCAGTTATATCACTCATTTAAATCCTCACAGCAACCCTATGAGGCAGATGCTACTACTATATTCATTTTACAGGTGAATAAACTAAAGTGCAGAGAGGTGAAAGAATTTTCTTAAGGTCACACAGCTGGTAAATGGTAAAACTAGGATTTGAACCCAGGAAGTCTGGCCCCAGCATCTGTTACTCTTAGCCACTAACTTATAAATACAGAATCCTACACATGTATAAAATATATCTGATAATGCTGGTTGCCTCCAGAGGGAAGGGAAATTTTTCATTGTATATCCTTTTGTACCTTTTGAATTTTGAATCGTCTGAATGTATACCTATTTTTTAAGCACACACACACACACACACACACACACACTCAAATTCACACAAATATGTAATGGCTACTTCTCAGTTATTGTCTTACAGGGGTGGCGAGGGTGGGGTGGGGAAGAGCATGGGTCTTGACATTCAGTTGCTTGAATTTAAATCCCAGCTCTAATATTCTGTATGACTTTGGACATGTAAGATGTTTAAAATGATACTTATAAGGTTGTTGCTCTGGTTAAACAAGATAATCATTGTAATGCATTTTGCACAGGGCCAAATAAATGCTTCATTTTACCTCCTACACATCTCTGGAATCCACTCACTTCTCACCATCTCCTCTGCCACCTTCCCTGGCTAAGACAACCATCGTTCCTGCCAATTTAGCATCTTCGGTCTCGTTTCCTTCCCTTCTGTTTTCAGCACAGTCATCCGAGCATCTATTTAAAATGCAAAGTTAACTATGTCACTACCCAGCTCAAATCCCTCCCATGGCTCCCCACTGCTTTTAGGAAAAGTCCCAAGGTTTTGGGCCTAGAATTGAAAGGCTCTGCCTCATCTGGCCTCAGGTGGCCTCTCCCACCTCATCCCTTAACAGCTTTTCACTCTCTACTTCCTGCCTATGACTGCTGTTGTCACAATACACCAGCCCAACCACTCTATATTCTGAGTCCTAGTCTCCAATTTTGGCTTTCCTCAAATTTCAGTACTGGCTCACTTGACACAAACTTTACAAATGAGAAACCCCTGCTTTGAGACCTGGGAGGAGATCCTAGGGGCCTAGTGGTGACCCCATTCCATGCCATTCCCAGCACTGCCTTCAGTTCCTTTGGAGTGGGGCTGACTACCACTTTGGACAAGTCATGTCACATGTCTAAGCCAGCTCAGTTTCCTCTGAGGGAAACCCAGAACAGTGCCTGATACAAAATAAATGCTGGGTAAACTTTCACTGAATGAATGAGATCCCAGAGGTTGGGCAATGACTAAAGGTAGGGCAAGAAGCAGAAAGAGGAGCTCTTGGATCTGTGTGAGAGGAGAGTGGGTTACTCTTAGCTGGTCTCAGAAAAGCTTGTTGAGCCCTGAGTGGGACTTCTTGGGCATGGAGTTCCATCCTTTGCTGTCACCCATGTCTTCTGGCAATGGATTTAGATTTTCTTTTTCTCAGGCAGAAGGTGGAATGTGGGAGACAGGGTGATAACAATTTAGCCCCCCTGAAATCCCTGATGCCACCAGAGGATCCCTCTGCCTGACATAACACATATCAGGCTAATTCTTTTTAAAATATGTTTTTAATTTATTTTTATTGATTTCAGAGTGGAAGGGAGAGAGAGATAGAAACATCAATGATGAGAGATTGATCGGCTGCCTCCTGCACGCCCCCTACTAAGGGATGAGCCCACAACCCGGGCATGTGCCCTGACTGGGAATTGAACCATGACCTCCTGGTTCATAGGTTGATGCTCAACCACTGAGCCACGCCGGCCGGGCTATACCAAGCTAATTCTAACCTCTAGGCCAGGGGTGGGCAAACTTTTTGACTTGAGGGCCACAATGGGTTCTTAAACTGGACCAGAGGGCTGGAACAAAAGCATGGATGGAGTGTTTGTGTGAACTAATATAAATTCAAAGTAAACATCATTACATAAAAGGGTACGGTCTTTTTTTTTTTTTTAGTTTTTTTCATTTCAAAGGGGCCGTAGTTTGCCCACGGCTGCTCTAGGCCTTTCTATTGGCACGACTCTCCTCTGGTTTTCTTATCCTTTCCTTCTCATCTATGTGTCCTTCCTTAGTCTGACCTGACTGACCCCTTGTAGGGTCTCTGACTTTACCACACTCCTCATCCAAGTCGCCTCTCCTTTCCTCCATTTCTGTCCAGTGTGCACCCCTCCCCCACCACCTCCACTCTGCCTCCAGCTTTTTTTGGCTGCTGTCTCTTCCTCCTCCTCCTCCCTCCTTCACTGACGCTGAGTAATCAGACCTGGCTGTCCTGGTTTCCGGAAATACCCATGTGTGGGCAGTGGCTCAGCACTGAACCAGGATGGATGGATGGATGGATGGATGGATGGGGGCTTTCAGGCAGCCCTAGGCTCCGAGTGCAAAGACATCAAACTCCAAGAGTGTGGTCTACGCCTGTCTCCCTCTGGGGAAGAGAGGGCAGGAGGTTTATTGAGCAGTGGGGTAGGGGTGGGAATTCAGAGGGCATGGACACAGGCCATCTCATCTCCCAGGTCCTCTTCATCGAAGCGGGAGAGGATGGACTCCTCATCACTATAAAGTGAGCTGGTTCTCTGTGCCAGCAGGTCACTGGCAGCACTGTCCATCTCGTCCAGTGTCAGGCGACATGCATCCGCGATCTCCTGCTTGGCCAGGGCCACAAAGCGCGGGTCTCGGGCAAAGAGGTCCAGGCCCTCAGAGATGAGCACCTGGGGCCACAGATAGGATCAGAGTTGACAGAAGGCACAGCATGGAGTTGAAGCAGCATGCACAGAGAGGTCAGTGTGGATAAATGATGCACCCTTGACGATATGCAGGGAAGTCAATGGGGGACAGTGGTACACACATCATGCTGAGCAGAAGTTGCAGAGCAAAGGGAGAGCTACATGCACAGCACAGAGACTGGGGACCCTTTTCCTCTCCTTCCCAAAGTCCCCCCTCCTCTCATTCTCCCCCATCCCTCTTGCCCATGCCCTTTCTGAACTCACAGCCTCCACCAGGCTGTCAGCACTGCCCCTCTTGCCATGACTGGGGTCTGAGTGGGTTCCAGGCACTTGCAGGCAGGTGAAGGTGCAAAGCGGACCGCTGGATTTGCTGAGGTATCTCTCCCCTGCTGCACCCTCCTCCACCAAGAACAGTGGGGCATACAGGAGCCGACCCCGCTGAGGAGGGGTTGCCCAGGAACCCTGGACCAGAATAAACATCAGAAGGACAGTGATTGATGGGTCGAGTGTGAGGGTATAGGACTCATTTCTGTGCCTACCTCTTACCCCCCAAGCACAACTGTAGTCAAACTGAATGTGTGTAAATTACAGGTGAGTTTAAGAGCACAGAAGACCTGAGTTTAAATCTCAGCTCTGACACTTACTAGCTGTGTGATCTTGGGTAGGCCTCTCTGGGCCTCAGTTTCTTCATCTGTAAACTGGGGCTAATAACAGTACCCACCTCACAGGTACAGTGAGAATGTGTGAGTTCATATGTGCCCTGTTCTTCAGAAGGTCTTGACATGTAGTGTGTCTGATAAATTCAACCTAGGCTGCCTGGCTGGTGTGGCTCAGTGGTTGAGTGTCGATCCATGAACCAGGAGGTCAGGGCACGTGCCCGGGTTGCAGGCTCATACCCCAGTAGAGTGTGTGTAGGAGACAGCTGATCAATATTTCTCATCGATGTTTCTATCTCTCTCTCCCTTCCTCTCTCTCTAAGATAAATAAAAACACATAAAAAAATTTTAACCTAGGCTGCCCCCACCTCACCTCACCTGTGCCCTGCTGGGCCCTGAGTTTCGCCCACGATGATAGGTGCCTGGGATGGGTAAATCTTCACAACTTCCCTGGCGCCGCAGACACTGGATGGTGAAGGAGGGCTTCCGACCTGGGGGTGAGGATGGTAGGTGGTACGGGGTGCTTCCCCAGCCCTCTGCCCTGCTGGCCCTTGGGGGCCCTAGGACCCATGCACACTTGCACACTCTCACCTGCAGGTGTTGGGGGCAGCAGACGGCGGCGTGGTGCGTAGTGCCCATCCATGTATCTTTGGGGTCTGTGAGGTGGCAAAAGGATGGGGCAAGAGGGAGTCGCGGCCTGCTCATGTATGTAGGAGCCCCTGAATGGGAAGGAGGGCAGGCTGGGGGTGAGCTCAGGCCTGGGCGATGGGGTGCCATCAGTCCTGCCCCCCAAACATGGGCTCATCCTACCTGTTGTGGCCAGAATACTGTCCCGGGACTTCCTCTTCCTCATACTGTTTCTCTTGCCCTTCAGTTCCCTTGGGCTGAAAACTTCCTTCTTCCGGAATGGTGAAAATGAGAGCCCCAGAACTTCTCCTGGGGAAAGTGAGGCAAGTTAGGCAGATTAGATCCCCAAATATTAGTATGTGGTCCTGGGCCCCTGGTTCCCTCTCCCTTACAGAATCACTGGGCTTCTAATTTTTTAAAATTATGTTAAAATAAAATTAACATAAAATTAACCTGTTATTTAAAAGTGAACATGGGCTTTCTTTTAAGAGACATTTTTTTCTCATTGGAAAGACCCAATATTTAAAAAAAAAATCAAAGTTGGCCTCTTAAAGAGACAACTTCAAATAAGAATTGGGGGTGTGCTGGGGTATAAAAGCTGAGTGACCTTATTACATCCTTCCACTATCTTTATGAAGTAAGGTACTATTATTATCCGCCTTTCACAGGTGAGGAAATTGAGGACCATGAAAACTAAGTGAGTAGCCCAAGATCACTTAGCAAATGGCGGATACAAGATTTGAACTTAAACCCATTTAGTCCCACATCATGTGCTTTTTGCATTAAACCTTTGTATTGCCTTTCTCACATGAATCTTATTATCCTTTATTTCCATCTGAGCCCTTGAATCCCTCTCATTTTTCCCACATTTCCATTAGAAGGCCTTACTCATGCCCCCTGAGTTATCCCCATACAGTGGCTAGTCCCTGCCTTCCCTCATCATCTTCTCCCCTGACCATACCTGTGAGCATGGGATCCAACCTGGGGCACACTGGACTGTCTGGAGTTGGGAGCCCCCGCATCATCATCACTGGGCCCCAGGGAGAGTGAATCTGGCAGTTTGTCCCCAGTTGGCAGAGACACAGAAATCAGGGAGCTCCTACGGGATGGGGGCTGGGAGCCCATTGGAGCCTGTGGGAGTCACAGGACAGTGTTGCATCCATGTTTATATCTAAGTCATTTGGTCATATGGTGTGTCTCTGGTGAGCACCCCAGGGACTGGCTGTATCTGGGTCTTGGCCTCCAACAGCGGATGGTAGGTGCCAAATAAACATTTGTC